ATAAATATTAAAAAAGGAGATTTTTTATTATATATTTTATCTTATAATGGAATTATAAATATAATCAGTTATATATCTAACGAAGTATTGATCCCGAAGGGATCTAATTCTTATGGATCCAAAGGATCTAGCGGAGCAAAGGTACTTTCAGGACCTAAAAATATAAAACCAAAAGAAGAACCACAAAGTGATAAAGACTCTGTTAAATCTATATTATCAAGTATAGGAGAATTAATTACTGATAAAATATGTGATAAAGATAATACTAGATTGCAAAGTGATCCTGGCTACTATAAATCTGATAAAGATAAAGACGGTGATATATCACAAAGTGATACTGAATACTCTAAATCTATATTTAATTTTGGTAAATAAAAGAGATTTATTAAAATAACTTAAAATGAATGTTTTTCTTTATAAAAAAGAATGGAATATAATAGAGACTACAAAGAATGTAAAAATGAAGAATGTAAAAGTATTTATCCAGATCTTAACCAGTATAGAGTTGATCCAACTGCACCACCACTATCTGATCAGCGATATAGATTAGATAAGATAAGTGAAATTCAAGGTAAAATAGAATGTGAAAGAAGTAGAAGAGCTATGTTAAGTAAAAAATATCACAGAGCTGTAAGAATAATTTCAGTTGTTGATAATTCATTACTTGCAACTACTATGACACTTGGAGCTGTTGGTATTGGTTTTTTAACAACAATAGTTGGAACACCAGTAGCTATTGCATGTGAAAGTGCAGCATTAGGTATTGGTTTAATGTCATTAATAGGATCTCAAGTAATTAAAAAATTAAATATAAAATCAGAAAAGCATGAAAAGATTAAAGTATTAGCTGATGCAAAATTAAATACTATAAGCGATCATATTTCTAAAGCTTTAAAAGATGGTAATATCGATGATGTAGAATTTACAATGATACTTTCAGAATATGAAAAGTTTCAAGCTATGATCGAACAAATTAGAACAAAATCTAAAAATGAAATTGATGAACAAACTAAACAATCAATATTCAACCAAGGCAAAGAGAAAGCTATGAAAGAGGCAATGGAATTGTTAGAGATTAGGTTTAATAAAAATCAAAATATTAACAAAAGAAACATTAATTAAAACATATATTATGTTCAAGTAAAACATATATTATGTTCAAGTAAAACATATATTATGTTCAAGTAAAACATATATTATGTTCAAGTAAAACATGATAATACGTTAAAATAAAATGTTATGTATATAAAAATGTCGTTTTTAGATATTGTAGATCCGAAAAAAAGAAATGAAGCTTTTAAAGAGCTCGAAAGATTGAAAAAAGGTATTTATCAAGATGCAGTAAATGAAAAGCTTGGATTTAATGACTTACAGTATGACTTGGGTAATTTATACAAACCTATTATCGATAGTCAATCTGGAATAAAAGAAAACTTAGCTAAATTAGAAAATAAAGCTGATTTAGCTATCACTCTATCAAATTATCCAGCAATAATGGATGTACCTGAAAGTAAAATAGTTTCATTAGGAACTATAGCAACAAATTATTTAAAGTCAGCCTATAGTAATAAAAAGGCAGCAGATTTTACATTTGGTATACACTCAAAAGATGGAAAATTGTGTATAGGAAAAAAAACAATATTAATTAGTAATAATGATATAACTATTGATAATAAAAAATATATTGGAACTAATGGTCTTTGGGAATTGTTAACAAAATCTAGTCCTGATAAAGATATATACAATGAAGATGATCTTGAAAATTATAAAAATATATTAAAAGAAACAGATGCTATTTCTTCTAGTAAATATCCAGGAAAGCCTAGATCATCTAGAAGTGAAAAATATAATAAAATAATAAAACCTATTTGGGTAGAGATCGCTAGAAAATCTGGAAAAGGAGTTATCATTCTTCCTAGTGATCCAAATGAATTAGTTAAAATGCTTGCATTACGAATAGCTGCATTTGAAGCAGGTAATACTGGGGCTAGAAATGAGGCTGTTGCTATTTGTGATGAATTATTACGTCAAGGAGAAATTGATTCTGAATATTATAAATCATTACAGAACATTTTTAGATTAAATAAAAATAGTAAGTAAATAAAAATGTTAATTGTTGAGAAAAAAGTTTATAAAAAGCATTTTGTAAGTGGAAGTGGTATATTCGATGATGTTAATAATCTATATAATCGAGCAAAATCTTCTGATTTTTTTAGAGCATTATCTGGTATGAAGACAATGTTAACTAACCGTTTAAGAGATAAATAAGGGATCTGCATTTATGTGAAATAAATTAAATAAAAATAGTAAGTATATAAAAAAATGTTAATTGTTGAGAAAAAAGTTTATAAAAAGCATTTTATTGATGGAAGTGGCATATTTAGTCCTTTTAGAGGCTTACTGAATAATAGATCGATTAATAATGCAATTAAAATATCACGTAATTTAGCTAATAAAGCCATTGCTAGTGATTTAGGAAAAACTGCAATAGATGCTGCAAAAGTAGCAGGTAAAGAACTAGCTACAAATGCAATCTCTACAGCTAAAGATATTATATTAGAAAAAGGAAACAAGTTGATTAAAAAATCAAAGCTTAAACCTGAAAGTAAACAAGTACTTGCAAATTTAGTTGAATCTGGAGCTAATGATCTTGCTCAAAATATATCTAATGAAGTAACAACAAATATAAATAAATTGATGATGGGATCTGCAATACCATCTAAAAGATCTAAAAGAGGATTAAATAAAAAATTAAGCCATTCAAACGCTATTAAACTGGAAGAATTAGTAAAGATGGGAAGAGGATTAAAAATGGCATAATTTTCAGTAACATTTTTTATAAAATTAATGTAAAATGAATTAAAAAAAAATGTTATGCATATAAAAATGGCAGATTATAAAAGTTTAGATTTAACAGAAGATCCCTTTATTGATGATAGTATTTTCAGATATCAATTTGGAGAATATACTCCACAAAATGGTACAAATATAAATGATACCGTACCAATAAAAATTAATATTGAGATGACAGATTCATTTTTTAAACCATCTAAAGCTTATATACAAGTTGAAGGAAGACTTCAAGCAGCAAGTGGTGCATCCTATGCTGATACAGATGTAGTTACACTTACAAACAATGGAATTATGCATTTATTTGATAGAATGGCATATGATTTATCAGGACAGAATATAGAAACAGTAAATAATTTAGGACAAGCAACTACAATGTTAGGAATGCTCAAATATTCAAATGACTTCCAATTAGCAGAAGGATTAAATCAACTATGGTACAAAGATACTGTAACAGATGCAAATTTGACTACTAATGTTGGATTTACAGTAAGACAAGCATACATTATAAAAAAACCTACTACAAAAGGTACATTTTCGTTTTGTATTCCTTTAAATCATATTTTCGGATTCTGTGAGGATTATACTAAAGTAATTTACGGATTTAAACATACATTAACTATACAAAGAAAAAATGACAATGATGCTAATTTTCGATCTGCTGCAGCAGCTATAGGAAAAGTAAATCTTACAAAAGTATCATTATGGATGCCTTATGTCATACCATCAGATACACAGAGACTTAATCTTAATAGTGTTATTAGAGAAAAAGTAACAATTCCAGTAGCTTTTTATTCTAGATCGTGTGAAACTACAACTCCTCAACAAACATCTAAAATGACTTGGAGACTTGGTGTTAAAAGTGATGAAAAACCTAGATATATTATCGTTGGATTCCAAACAAATAAAGACAATGATCAAACACAAAATGCTTCAATATTTGATCATTGTAACTTAACAAATATACAAGTTATGATTAATAAAATAAGATATCCTGAAGCTGATTATGAACTATCATTTCCAAATCAACAAGTTTCAAGAGCTTATACAGATGTATCCAATTTTAAAGAAAATTTTTGTTGAATAGATAAAATAATTTCAAATTGTAACATAACACCTTCAGACTATAGAGATTTATATCCACTTTTTGTTTTCGATTTAAGACATCAATCAGAAAGATTAAAACCTTCAGTATCAGATATTGATATTATAGCAAACTTTAGTGAAAATGTTCCAGTCGGAACTGAAGCGTTTGCTGTTATTGTGTCAGAAAGATTAGGTAGACTAAAGTCTAATGGAGATAGATTTAACTTTGAATATTAGAAAAAGAAAATAGTAAAATGTGCAATAAAAATATTTTTTTTGAAATGAGTTAAATAATTTTCTTGTATATATAAAAATGAGTGATAAAATAAAATATACAAAAAAGTATTTATTAAATTTACTAAAAGAAAATAATATACAACAAACATCTAAAGATCACATTGCATTAGTTATGATTGCTATGGATAATAATTTAATTGATAAAGAATCTATACAATCAAATATCATTACTAAAAAACAAAAAAAACCAAAGATTGTAAGAGTTAAAAGAGTTAAAAAAGAAAAAGTAATAAAAGAGAAAAAAAAAGCTGGAAGACCTAGAATTAATCCTATAAAAGAAAAAAAAGAAAGAGATCCTAAATATGACTGGCTTGCGAAAATTAGAACAAATCCAACAACTATAAAACTTACTAATATAGAAACTGGTGAAGTTAAAATATACAATTCATTGTATGACTACATTCGTAAAGAAAAGCATTGTAAATCATATGCTGAGAAGTATAATGGAAAAGTTAAAAATGGAGTAAAAATAGAAATAATAAAATCAGAAAATGAAAAATAAATTATTTTTATAGATATAAGTCTATAAAAATATATAATAAGAAATGTTTATTTACTATCAATTAATTTCTTAACAAGAAATTTAAAAAAATGAAAACGATATAAATAATTTTTTCTTGTATATATAAAATATATAATAAGAAATGTTTTTCACTGTCAATTAATTTCTTAACAAGAAATATAAAAAATTGAAAATGATATAAATAATTTTTCTTGTATATAAAAATGGCAAATATTACTAATAGATTTTTTAATAAAATCAATTCATTAACAAATTGGGTTATGTCATATATTCCTAATCCTATTAAAGAAATAGCTACTACGCAAATTAATACATTAAAATCTACAGTTTCTAATTTGTATGAAAAAGTAGGATTTAAAAGTGAACAAGTTAGAAAACCTATAGAATCTAAAAAAGAAAAGAAGAGAGACAAGAAGAGAGAAAAGAAACCAATAGAGTTTAAATTAACACAATCAGCTGTTTGAAATGTGACAAGACAATTTTCAGCTCAAGGTGTTGAAGGATATGATGCTTTGTCCTTTATGAAAAAAGCTAAAAATAATGTAGGGGAGGTAGGGGAGCATTGGGCAGTTGGGAGGTTTGGGCATCCCCTCATTTCTCACCATCTTTTCTAGATATTTTTTGTTTTTTACCATAGCATTATAGTTTTATAATTGGCAACACTTTTCATCAAAAGTGTCAGCTGTCGTTTCACTTGGTTGTCAAGTTACATGCGCTTAACAGTTTGTTGCGTTCAAAAGTAAATATTTTGTTTATGATTTGAAGAAAGATAACAAAGAAATCTGCAAGAAATTGTAAGTATCTGTGCTAACTTCTTCTTTTGTGTTTAATGAACATTATATTTACCTGACAATTAGGATTCAACATTTGATAAAAATAAACTTATTCAAATCTGTTTAAAAAGTGAGGTTATGGGGAGCATTGGGCACGCAGGTAGGAGGGAGGTTTGGGCATGCTCAATGCTCCCTCTTTTTTTAGTGTGTTTTTTTGTCATATGTTTGTGTTTTTTTGCTATGACTATTGGATTGAATGGTTAATCATTTCTTTTCAGGACAATGCCGTTTTTATTTAAAAAGAAAAATAAACGACGTGAAATCCCTAAAGATGTAATTTTGCGTGCATTGGAAGAGGTTTCTAAAGGAGGAAAAAATAAAACTACTGCGATTAAATATGATATACCCAGGTCTAACCTTCAAAGATACATAAAACAGGGTGGCGCTGTGAAAGATACTTCTTGTAAATATATATCATCCCAAATATTCACAAAAGATGAAGAAGAAAAAATTTCAGAATATTTTGTAACATTGTTTAAACTTAACCATGGAATGTCAAAACTGAAAGCACGCGAATTAGAATACGAATATGCCACTGCCATTAATAAAAAAATACCAGACAACTGGATAGAGAAGAAACTTGCATCGAAAGATTGGCTAAGGGGATTTTTTAAAAGACAACCTCAGCTTTCGATAAGGACCCCAGAAGCTACTAGTCTCTCACGTGCCACAAGTTTCAATAAGAAAAATGTTAGAGGTTTTTTTGAAAATCTTAGCACTGTATATGAACGACACCGTTTTGGCCCTGAGTCTATTTACAATATAGATGAAACTGGATTATCAACAGTACAACGAACCCAGAAAGTGATTGCTCTCAGAGGCACTAAGCAAGTTGGGCAAGTAACGTCAGCTGAAAGAGGGACACTTGTAACTGTTTGCTGCGGCATTAATGCATTGGGTAACTCAATACCACCCTTTTTCATATTCCCACGAGTTATTTTCAAAACATATATGTTAAATGATGCACCTGTTGGTTCAGATGGAGCAGCACATCCTTCAGGGTGGATGACAGCATCAAGTTTTTTAAAATATATACACCATTTTAAAAAATACGCAAAACCAACGCCTTCATCACCAGTTCTATTGCTGCTGGACAATCACGAGAGCCATATTTCTGTACCAGTTCTCGATTTTTGTATAGAATCAGGCATTGTTTTAATAACTTTCCCACCGCACTGCAGCCATAAACTGCAACCCCTAGACCTGACTGTCTATGGACCACTCAAAACTTATTATAACACTGCTGTAACAGATTGGATGGTGAGCAATCCTGGCAAAACGATAACAATTTATGAAATCCCAAAATTAGCAGAAAAGGCCATCCCACTTGCATTCAAGTTGCAAAATATTCAAACGGGATTTGAAAAATCTGGCATTTGGCCATTCAATTCAAACATTTTCTCTGATGAAGATTTCGTTTGTTCTTCTATAACTGATCGCTACTTGCCGGGAGAGAATAATGTTGCTACAGAAAAATCGATTTCAGACCAACCTATCATGGAACAGCCTTCAACAGAAGAAAATCTGAGACTAGAAGATCGTACTAGTTCAAATGTGGAAGTCACTGGGCCATCTCAACTTGAATCTCTATCTAAAAGCCAGACTAGTGGCACTGTCAATGTAACACCTGATTTAGTAAGACCATATCCGAAAGCCGGCCCCAGGAAATTGGGTGGCATGAAACGGAAGAAAGGAAAAATTAGAATATTGACAGACACACCCGAGAAAAGACTTATAGAAATTGAAGAAAAAAAAAAAAAAGAAAAAATAAGATCAAAGAGCTCAAAAAAAATCGAAAATGCTCTAAAAATGAGAAAAACAGGAAGATTAGTAGTGACTAAGATTAGTATGATGAAATAAAAAATGTTTCCGATTCTGACGAAGCCTTTGTTGAAATCGATTCATCAAAAGAAGATTTTGATGTAGACGATGTGATTGTTCTGGATAGAAATTTCCAGGTTAATAACTTTGTGTTGGTTAAATTTGACACCAAAAAAACTGTTTATCATTATGTTGGAATTGTCGAAGAGGTTAATCACTCCATGGCAACTGTCAAATTCATGAGAGCGAGTAAGATAAGAAATACGTTTATGTTTCCTGACATCGAGGACGTAGCCAGTGTCCCCCTGGAGGATATAAAGACAAAATTGCCTACACCATCAACATGGATAAAACGTGGCAGCTTAAAATATAAATTTGACAAGCCTCTTTGGGTCATACCAAATATAAGATAAGTCTTATTAGGTCCAACATTGTGGAGTATTGATTCCAAGTAACATTGTTTAATCTTTTGTAAAGTCTATAATATGAAAAAATGTTTGTGTTACAATTTTTTATAGCAATGCTATATAACACTTAAGCATATGAGTATAGTAAAACAATATCGTTCATATTAAATACAGTGCCCAAACCTCCCCATAGGGGTGCCCAAACCTCCCAACCACGGGGAGGTTTGGGCACTTTGGACACGTGTTAGAAAACCTTTTGTAACTTTGCAACTAATTATAATACTAAAACTCTTCTTAGCAATAATTAATGCCAAATATGTGTGCTAGATATACTTGAAATAAAATTTTGATTATGATAAAAAATAACAGATTTATTAGCGTTTATGTAAAAAAGTGCCCAATGCTCCCCTACCTCCCCTAATTGATATACTCAAAAGCAATAAAGGATCAAAGATCTATATTGTTCTTTCATGTGAAATGGAGCGTACTGATCTTAACACAGGAGAAACTATAACAACTATTGCACCCTTTTCATCCAATTCAGAAATTGTATTAGAGTCAACAGATTTAAATGACTTTTATGAAAGAGCTGAACAGAAAATTTTAGAATCCTTGTCAGCATTTCAACAATTAGGATCAAGTTGGATATTTGTTTCAGTTAAAAAGATGGACATTAATATCATTGAATATAAGCCTATTAAAGGTAAATCTTACATTCCTCTTCCTAAAGAGTTGACAGCTAAAAAAGCAATTATTAATATGAAGAATAAAGACAATGAATGCTTTAAGTGGTGTGTTGCTAGATTTTTTAATCCTAAAGATGATCATCCTGAAAGAGTAGATAAAGATTTAAAAGAACAAGCTAAAAAATTAAATTGGGAAAAAATAAAATTCCCAGTGTCACTACAACAGACTACTCAATTTGAGAAAAATAATCAAGACATAAGTGTTAATGTCTTTGGTTATGAAAGTTCAGTTTATCCTTTAAGAATAACTGAAAACAAAAATAGACAACACCAAATAGACTTGTTACTCATTTAAAAATGATGAAACCTATCACTATTGTTTAATTAAAAATCTAAGTAGATTACTTTCATCACAAATATCTAAACATAATGGTAAAAAACACTTTTGTAGAAATTGTTTACAAGCATTTAGTACTGAAGAATCTTTATCAAAGCATAAATTGTATTGTGATACTCACGATTCAGTACGAATTGAGCTTCCAAAACCAAATACAATGACTGAGTTTAAAAATTATAACAAGTCTATGAGAGTGCCCTTTGTAGTCTATGCTGATTTTGAAAGTATTATTAAACCTATTAATACTTGTGAACCAAACTCAGATAGTTCCTATACAAAGCAATACCAAAAGCATACACCTAGTTCATTTTGTTACTATATTAAATGCTTTGATGAAAAAATATATCAAAGTAAACTAGTTACATTCACTGCAAGTAATGAAGTTGAAGATGTAGCACAAAAATTTATTGATATGCTAGAAGAAGATGTAAAAAAGATTTACAACAAGTACTTAAAGTTTCCAAAAAATATAATATTTAATAGTAAAGACGAAGAAGAATTTAACAATGCAAAAAGTTGTCACATTTGTGAAAAAGATCTTAATGAAGATAGAGTACGAGATCATTGTCATATTACTGGAAAATATAGAGGTGCTCCACATAATGAGTGTAATTTACAATTTAAAAATCCAAAATTCATTCCAGTACTATTTCACAATTTATCTAATTATGATTCTCACTTGTTCATAAAGAAATTGTCAGGTAAAATAAATTGCATTCCTAACAATGAAGAAAAGTATATCAGCTTTTCTAAAGAACTTAAAGTAAATGAATTTACGAATAAAGAAAATAAAGTTATTGAAGTTAAACTACAACTACGTTTTCTTGATAGTTTTAGATTTATGGCTTCTAGTTTAGATAGTTTAACTAAAAATCTAACAAAGGAGCAATGTAAGAATGTTAGTAGATATTATTCTGGAAATGAACTCAATTTATTGTTAAGAAAAGGTGTTTATCCTTATGAATGGGTTGACTCTATTGATAAATTAAATGAAACACAATTACCACCAAAAGAATCATTTTATTCAAGACTAAACGATGAAGGAATAAGTGACGAAGATTATTTACATGCTCAAACTGTATGGGAAGATTTTCAATGTAAAACATTTAGAGACTATCATAATTTATATAACGAATCTGATGTATTATTACTAGCTGATGTCTTTGAAAATTTTAGAGATGTATGTATAAAAAATTATAAATTAGATCCTGCTTGGTACTATACTTCACCAGGATTAGCTTGGGATGCTGCTTTGAAAATAACAGAAGTAAAATTAGAATTATTAAGTGATTATGATATGATTCTTATGATAAAGCAAGGAATAAGAGGTGGAATTAGCACAATTTCTAACAGGTTGGGAGTTGCTAATAATAAGTATATGGAAAATTATGATAAAAGTAAAGAATCTACTTACATACAATATTTAGATGCTAACAATTTATACGGATGGGCAATGAGCAAACCCCTTCCTACACATGGGTTTAAATGGATGAATGAAAAAAAAATAGAAAATTGGAAATCTACTTCTTGCATATTAGAAGTAGATTTAGAATATCCTGAACACTTACATGATTTGCATAATGATTATCCACTTGCTCCTGAAAGATTAAAAATAAACAAAGTTGAAAAATTAGTATCTAATTTAAATCATAAGAAAAATTATATCATTCATTATGAAAATTTGAAATTGTATGAAAGATTAGGATTAAAATTGACTAAAATTCATAGAGGAATAAAGTTTAAAGAAAGTGCATGGCTAAGTAAGTACATTAAACTCAATACAGATCTAAGAACAAAAGCAACAAATGACTTTGAAAAAGACTTTTTTAAACTCATGAATAATTCAGTATTTGGAAAAACAATGGAAAACATTGAAAACAGAGTTGATGTGAGATTAGTCACTAAAAGAGAAGAAGCTATTAAATTAGCATCAAAACCCAACTATGAAAGTAGGACTATATTTGATGAAAATTTAATAGCTATTCATATGAAAAGAACAAACCTAGTTTATAACAAACCTATTTACTTGGGTATGTGTATTTTAGATTTGAGTAAAACACTCATGTATGAATTTCATTACGATTACATAAAAAATAAATATGGTGATAGAGCTAAACTGTTATTCACAGACACAGACTCTTTAGTCTATGAAATAAAAACAGAAGACTTTTATGTAGATATTGTAAATGACATTGAAAGTAAATTTGATACAAGTGAATTTGAAAAAAATCATCCAGCTGTTAAAAATGGATTTAAAGTAGGAACAAATAAGAAAGTATTGGGAATGTTTAAAGATGAATCTGCAGGAAAACAAATTGAAGAGTTTATAGGACTTAGATCAAAATTGTACTCTTTCAAAATAGATGGAGAAGATAAAAAGAGATGTAAGGGAGTAAAGAAAAATGTAGTTAAAAATTATATAACACATGAAGATTATAAAGATTGCCTTATGAATAGAAAAGATCAGATGAGAAAAATGAATGTTATAAGATCTCATTGTCATGATATATATACAGAAGAAATAAACAAAATAGCACTCAGTGCAGAAGATGATAAAAGAGTTATTTTAGATGATGGAATTCATACCCTAGCATACGGACATTATAAATTAAAATAAACAAGCAGGCAGGCGGGTAAGTAATTTTTTATTTAAAAAATCTAAAACTATTAATAAAAATGAATAAAAGAATCAATGTTGAAGGAATCATATTACCAAATGTACCATTAACAAACTTTCAGTTAATAGAAGCAGCAAAGAAATTAAAAATAAAAAATTTTAGAGGTGTATTTGTAAGAGATGAATTACCTAAAAATACACAAAAAAAAGAATGTGGAATATTAAATACTGGAGATTCAAGTACAGGTGGATTTCATTGGATTTGCTGGTATAAAGACGGAGATATGAAACTAAGTTTCGACTCTTATGGTCTACCACCTCCAGTTGAACTTGTTCAATATTTACACAGTCCTGTTTACTACAATACTGAACAAGTTCAGTTTGGAAATACTTCCTATTGCGGGCACTTGTGTCTCTATGTCTTGAAAAAACTAAATGATGGAAAAGAATTTCAAAGCATCATTAATTCACTTTGGTGAATCTTAGATATGTTATAAAAATAAATTAAATAATAATAATGAGTATATAAAATGAGTATTAATATATTCGGTAGTAGTTCAATGAATGGATTATCTGCTTTTGGTAGCACATCAGGTGGCAGTTTAAATCTAAATATTAATGTAGACAATAAAGCAACTTCAGACGTTGATCTCAATACACATAAAATAATAAATTTAGTTGATCCTACTAATGCACAGGATGCAGCTACAAAGCATTATGTAGATAATAATCAGATTTCTAGCAGTGCATGTCTAAAACTAGATGGAACTAATAGTATGAGTGCTAATATAAATTTGAATTCACATAAATTGATCAACGTAGCTAATCCTACTAATGCACAAGATGCAGCTACAAAGAATTATGTAGATAATAATCAAACTTCTAGCAGTATGTATCTAAGAACTGATGGTTATAATCCTGCAACTGCTAATATAAATTTAAATACAGATAAACTCATCAATGTAGCTAATCCTACTGATGCACAAGATGCTGTTACAAAGAGCTACGTTGATGATATTCAAAATCAAAGTTTAGATATCATTCCCAATACAAGTTTAATATGCTTTGGACAAAAATCTCAAGCATTCTATGCAACTCCAGGATCATATACCATTTTTAGCTATAGTGGTAGTTCAGGAATTCTAAAAAAACTGTGGATTGCATTTACAGGATCTACTATTGCACCTAATACTGTACCAGGTAACTTGTTTTTAAAAATATATGCTGACAATGTACTTTGCATAGGTAATGATTCTATTGTAACAGATGGGGTAGGTATTAATAATACAGCTTTAGCTTGTGATTTATTAATTGCACCACTTGGTGGATCCTATTATGCAAACTCTTTACAAGGATGTAATGTATTTAGTACAAGTGCATTAGGAGGATATTTTACATTTGATCTTCCTTTTACATCAAGTTTGAATATACAATTATACAATAAAACAGGAAATTCAGTGACCTTTTGGTTACAACCTTTTATCACAAGAACTTCATCGTTACAACAAGCATTAACTAGTATTAATCCTCTAATACCTCGATCTATCTCATCTATTAAGTTGTACTCATCAACATTTAGATA